CACTAGATTAGTCTGGTAAATACGTTCACAAGTCTTTCTGTACCTTTTCAGTATGTGCTCTCCACTGGTTGGCCTGACAGACACTGCATATTCTTCTCCCACGTTGCTTTCCTACAGTATTGCTGAATATTTATTAACTGAAAGCTTATTGACAAGCTCCCATGCACTCTTTCTCACTGATGCCAAAGTCACAGCACTGTGCTTCCTCGTGAGGCACATACGCTTTCCATAACCTTTCATGGCTTCTGTGGGGGGTCTTTTCACTTTCCTACACACATATAGCTCTGTATGTTACTTTCTTGGTAGGAATGCGCTAATTGTCACACGTCTTTCTTTTTTAAATAGATTAATGTCATAATTATCCTCATTTTCTTCCTTCCTGCTACAGGCAATTGCTGGAATGCTTTAGTATTTTTTTGCAAAAAAAAAAAACAACCAACCACCAAACCCCAACCTCCACAACTTGTCTAGGGAAAGAATTGTCACCATTCCCAAGTGTAGGCCATAAGATCACTTAAGCACTCTAGAAACCTCTTCTTTTACATCAGCTGCACACTTAGGGTTTAACTGGTTTTTGAAAAACTCAGCCTGGTCCACTCAAATTACAGTTTAGATACATCTTTAGCATAGATTGTCTCATGTTGTCCTAGACGCTTTTTCCCCACTGGTTTAGGTAACATTGGTGCTCCTGTTAAGTCCCAGCCCAGCCACAAAGAAAGAAGATACCTTATGTCCCTTGATCTCAGTGTAGGGCAGTGAGAAGGCCTACATGTTCAGTGATGCCTCAGGACCGGGTGGGCACTGTGTGCCATGCAAGCTAAGGTGTAAGCAGGGTTTTGGCAGTGGTATACCTTGTCTTAGAGTCATATTTGTTAAAAGGGCAAAAGAAACAATATACTTTACTTGGCTTAAGTTGCAGGTAAGGGGTCAGGCACACTGACTGCAAATTACACCCTCATTTGACAGCCACATTGCCCAGTGCGATCGTGTTTGTTTCCTGGCCTTTCACGTAGACTGGCGCTTCCTTCATCACATCTTGATGACAGTAATGGATAAAGGGATTTTAAAAGGTTAAAGGATGCTGACATATATTGGCTTAAGTGTCACATTATGTGGTTCTGCTCAGGTTCATTTCTACTTCCACTGGACAGGTGCTATATAGGTGCTATAAGCTTTGTCAGGAAGCTGCCAAAATAGACCTCTGGTTTGCTGATGGGCTGTTTCAGGTATCACCCTGCTCTCAGGAAGGGCACAGAGGACAATCTGGCAAGCAAGATGAGCACAGGCAGGTTCGTAGGACCACCAGCAGCTACCTCCTGCTTTCCCAAATATTGCCTTTTCCCGTTAAGAAATCTGGAACCATAAAATGGCATCTGTCAAGCCGTAGGCACTTGAGAGTAAGCACCCATCAGAATAACTTACTGTCAAAAACAGGTACAAATTCATTTCATCCCACTTTGCGCCATATGCTGCTGTCAAAACTTCATGAACTGTTTAGGCAGCATGTTGGGACATTTTGACTAACTATGAGCAGAGCTTTTTTTTTCATAGCTTTGTGTCATCAGCGTTTATAATTGGGTATTTCCCTGAATATGTTTTCATCTCCAAACAGATAAGGCTGTGGAAAGTGAATGTAACCCGGGAAGATGGGGACCAGCCAAACCTCTGGATTCAGCCATTCCCATTTATGAGGTTCCCCAACTCTGAACTGGAAATTGCACTATACTACACTGCTCAAGGAGAAACTTCTTCTGTTTTAATGCTGGTATTTTAAATAAAGGTGAATTTTTTCTTCTGTGATTTGATGAAAACCTTGAATTTTGAAGCAGACTGGTAAGCTGAATCTAAATCTCATTTTCTGCTCCCTGAGCCCAGCCGCTTTGTTCTCCTGACAAGAAAATTAACTAGCACACCCTTTGCTATAATAAGTGGGAAGCAGACCACAGGATAGGTAAAGAACACATTTGCTGTTTTATTGGTGCCTTGCAGGGCAATAATACTGAAAAAGGGGAATGCAAAAGAAACAAAAAAACAAAAACCGAAACCAAAAACCCAGGATAGTGGCAACCCACATTGTATTTTTTTTAAAGAGTACATCAACTCCTGTTTTTTTTTATTTATTGTGGCATGAATGATAACATAAAACCAAAACATGAAAATATACAACTTATATTACACTATGTGTTATGAACAAAATATAAATCTATAACTCTATGTTATATTTACATAATTATTTATTTTATTAAATTTCAAGTGAGATGGTAGGTTGCACATACTTTGTTTTAAGCTCCAGGCATTTGATTGTCTCTATTTCTTTTCTATTTTCATTTCACTTGTAAAATCCAAAACGTTAGAAGGAGTAAGAGCTTTAGAGCCAATGGAGCTATATAAATACTGTTTCAGCAAACCAGTGACAAAAACACTGGGGAGTAGAGAAATCAGTCAGTAGAAAAAACGAACTTGACATGTTCTTCAATCTGGGAAACTGACAAGTTAAGATAAAGTCGAAAAAATGTAAATATAAACCAAGCTAAACAGCCAGCCCATGCCCTGTGAATTGAGGATACACTTGAATCCACATCTAGCCAATTGCACACAGTTCTTTGCAAAACTGAAGGTATGTTTCTATCCAGAACCGGGCAGACAAAAGTACTTCCTATCCGATACATCATGCCCTTGAACATACGAGATACCAATATAGTTGCCATTCATTCTAGCAGATGAATTCTGGCTAAGTAAGGTCTACATTTCCATGGAGTAGAATAATTTTTGATGTTAGGAATGTGATGTCAGAGGCTTCTTCGGGGACAATAACAGCTCATCTCTTTGGATTAAAAAGAAAAAGCTCTGAAAATGTGCTGTAAAAAGGTTAAAGACAATTTACTTTCTAAAAAATGATTTAATTAAAGAGAGAGTCTACTGCAGTAACCAAATCTTTGAAATAATGTCTTCGAAGAAAGAATTTCTTCCATATGCATTCGTAATAAGAGGATTTGGTTACAAAACTAATTAAATGCTATAATAATAGCTAGTGTTCTTTTCTGGGGGCCTGATTAATATAGCGGAACGGTTAAATAAAGATGTTAAATGCACTTAAAAATCCTATTTTACTAATATAAGGCATGAATAAATTGAAAAAGGATATACTCTGTGTTATTTAATCGAGCTTAGAAGCAAGTGCCTCAGCTTTTTTTTTCCCTTTCCCCCACTGCTGGTGGTGTTCTTTTGTAACCTCACGAGATGCAGCATAAGCAGCTCCCCCAGTTTACGAGGAGATGGCTCATATGCCCCCCCCCGGTAGCTCCCCAAAACCATCCTCACTCGCCAGGTCCCCAGGGAAGAGGGTAATAAGAGGGTAATGAAGCCCACCTTGGCATCAGGGCCTTGGTGTGCTTTTAGTTTAATATGATCCTAATCTCTTCTAACCTGGCTTTTCTACATGCTTCAGGGCACAGAACCCAGGTAAAAAAAAAAAAGAAACAACACAAAAAGATCTTTTTATAAATGTAGGTTTTGTTTGTTTTGTTGTTTTTTTTCCCTAGGAAATTAAAGAAGGACAAACAGGGCCTCATTTTCAAATCTGGTCTTCTACTACCAAAGGATATATGGGTGCTCATCCTTGGACCCAACAAAAAATTAGCACAGGTGTTAAGTATTTTTTTTTTATCATTTTTTGCCTTTTTTCTTTTTAACATTGCTGCATCGGTTTCAACATCCAAATGCAGGACGTGGGTAGTCTGCTAAAGCTACTCATTTGCAAAGCCTGGTTGAACCCCAGGCTTTAGTGTAGTCTCTCAGACAGAAAGTGTATGGTAACATAATTAGCGTTCATGTGAGCCCTAGTCCAGACCAAGGCAGTGAGCAATGCAGAGCACTCCCAGAGAAGGGCTCTGTTGTGCTGTGCGCTGTCAAGAGCAGAGCTTGGTCCTGCAGCCCCGGCACAGGTGCTCCTCTGGCACAGGACAGACCCTGCCCATGAGATGGGGCTACCTCCAGGAGCATATCCTGCACTGCAGCCCGTAGTTTGGGGCTGAAATTCGGTCACGCTGAAGTCAATGGGCCTTTTTGCCATTGACCTCCCCGAGGCCGGCTTTCCAGCCCATGCCTCTATGACTTGCTCCAACCACGCCTGCTGCAGTGGCACCTACCTGGAGCTAAAACAAAGTATTCTGGTAGTCCAAAGTGACACAATTATTAAACCAGAGAGTCTCTTTAACGTGGTGGAAATCAAGCATCCAGCAAATGTGAGGTGAACCCACAAGAGTCAGAAGTAATTTGTTCACAAAGACAGGGAACAAATTTAAAAGTTAAAAAAAAAGGAGCAAATATCTGTTTTCACATTGTACATAATAATGATATAAAAACAATTGTCTATTTTTTTTCCTTCTTATCCAAACAGAGTGCTTCAAAAAAAATTGGCTCTAGATGACTGGTGTAATTAAATAACTAAAATGAGTGATGAGAGAGCAGAAGTTAATTAAGATTGAAAACAACACTCCCATTAATTCACTCCATCATAATAAACATCAGAAGTTGACATGGCTGGGGCCAAAAATAAAATAAAAGAAAGAGAAATGGTGTGAGCAGAAGAAGAAGCAATTTGTTTTCATATGTATATATATATATATTTATATATATATAAAAAGGCAAGGTGGGGAGGGGTATCCATTTTAAATAGCCTAACAGCTTCATTTGCTGCACTGCCGAATTAGAACAGAATAAAATAAAGTTAAAAAAAGGGGGGGGGGGGGGGAATAAAATAAATTATACATAATTTACTAATCTGGGAACAGCTGACCATTATTATTATTATTATTATTATTATAATTACCATTACAACACTAGCAAGAAGAGGCAGTTCAACTGAAAAAAAACCTCAACACAGTCATAAAATACAAACAAAAAGAACCCTCTCTGACATGGAGGATATGATCAGCTACTCCAAGCATAACTTCAGAGCAAATCTTTTGAGAGAGAGAAAATAGGAATTTTTTGAGGCAGAGGCAGAAATCAAGAAAGGGAAAAGAGGAGAACAAAACAGATGTTTCAGGGTAAAACTATCACACGTCCAAACCGCTCATTGGAGTATTGTCTTAAGTCTTCAATGGCATTTGCTTGTTTGCTTTCCACAAGGTCTGCAGAGGTCAAGTTATACTTCAAGTAGGATTTCAAGAGCAAAAGAAAGACCCCCCCCCCCACATACTCCTTCCCAGTCTCTCCTCCTACCTGCCCCTTTCATTCTGCACCTGGGCTCCTTACATGGCTGATTGCAACAACAGCTAAATTTTTCAGAATAAGGGACCATTTCCAAAATCAATGTTGCCAGGGCTATTTTTTCAAGTTAAAACAAGAGCAATGAGTTTCTCTCTAAGAATAGGAATTTACCAGGGAGCAATATAAATATAAGGGTGGCATACTCAGTCAGAAGACCAACTCAAGAGGAAGGCATTTGTCTCAGTATGATCCTAAGACTTTCTTTCCCAGGCCAGAAAGCAACTCCTGGATAGCTGCTGTTTGAAATTAGGGATAGCCTTTTTAGTTGGTTGGTTGGTTTAAATGTAGTGCTTCTGTCTTGCTACACAAATCTGGGTCCTTTCCTCCTACAGGAAGAGTGAGGAGATGAAAAGAGACTTTTTGATTCACTTGTATTTACATTCTTTTTTTTTTTTCTGAAGTGAAACATTCAGGTACCTTACTGCAAATGCAAGAAGCTAACTTCTACTCAGGTTTATGCTCGTGTAAAATCACCTTCCTTGCTGGTTGCTGTTTCCCAAGGAAGGCAAAACTGCCCAACGAACATATCTAAGTGCTCTAGAACAACACAGAAAGTATTTAGCTCAGGAGAAAAATTTTTCACTTGCGAGAGGCAGCAGAAAGGGAAACTTGGTTTGGGTTCTTACTGCCCACTTTGACTATAGAAATCTCTTCATAGCTATTAGTCTTCCTTCCTACACAAACATCCCATTGATAAAAATGGATTTCTGCAAGTGCAAAGGAGAAAAAAAAAGTCAGTTTAAAACAAATCGTGTTCTGAATCAGAGATCAGTACTCAGCCACCCTGAAAGGATGAGTTCATCAAAAGTAGACATCATGGTAACCTAATTACACTCAGTGAGGAGGTAACATTTCCAGTTGCTCTGTCCTGTGCAGAACAAATCACGTTTTGTGATGCTGCCACTTGAAGTGTAAATTAAAAGCAAAGGTTCCTTACAGACCAAGTCATTTGGAGGGTGCGGGACTTAATTCTGGAACATGCTTTTTTGCTCACAATAGTCCAATATTATTCTTATTAGTACCATAAACACGCACACATGAAAATCCAAGACCATAAAATATTTTTTCTCTAGATTTCTTATGTCTTTCTCTCTCTCTTTTTTTCACCTGAGAACGGCACCTACAGTTTCCTTTAAAAAGCAAAACCAAACCCAAAAAATATATGTCTAATCTCACCAGCTGCTGGTATATCAGGTTCTTCAAGGGATTGTCTAAGATACAACACTGTCCTAACTTAAGACAGAGCAGGAAGCAAAAGAAAAGCAAAAGAAAAACAGAAAAAGAAGAGACTAACCAAAAGAAAAAAAAAAAAGCAAATTGGACTAGTTCAGCGCTTTAGTACAAATTTGGCACTTGCTCAAAGACTCAGTATGGTGTGCAACTGATGAAGAGAAGTCCTCTCTTGAAAGGAAATAATTGCTTGTTGGGGTTAACAGAAACAGACTCCCCACTTCCTTCCTTGCCAGCCACGCGCACAGGCACGCATGCACACACACACACACTTCTGACCCAGATTTGCCAGGGAGGAGGAGGAGGAGGAGACAGAGGGGACAAAAGGAATTTTATCTTTTTTCTTTCCTGTCAGGTGCATTACCAAAAAAAAAAAACCAAAAAGGAAACTAAAAAAAAAAGAAAAAGAAAAAATTATTTCTCTTTAAACTGTAGCACAAAACAACAAAACACATTCACAAGCCACTTGTTGGCACTGTGTACCTGAGTGAGAATTTCTAGAACATTGTAGAACAAACAGCCATAAAGTTTATTTGAAAAAAAAAAATAATAATAATAAAAGGTCGACGGGTAAGACTTCAGTGCTTGGGTATAGCAGCTGAATTACTGGCATTATTTTACCCATAGCTTATATCATTCTGTTGTTGTTATCGTTGTCTTTGTTTCCTTTCTTTTGAGCCTTTTTTCTTTTGATGCAGGCTGATGTCTATTAGTCAGCTGATGTCCCAACTAGTTAAGACTAACAGTTAAAGTAACAGTCAGTGTATGAGAAAGTTAATGTGCTTGGCCACTGGCAAAGATAAACCAGGTGGGGCTTTATTTATTTTTTTCTTTTTTCCTTGAAGTCCTGTAGGTCAAGAGATATTTGGACCCTGATCAGTTGGCTTGCCCCGCAATGTGATTTTCACTGTCACTGCCATAGTCCGCATCAGGGTCATCCTCTTCCTCATCGTATTCATCGTAGATTTCTCCATTGACATCATCGGTCTGCATCTCTTCCTTGATATGAGGCTCCTCACCTTTGATGCCGTAAGTGCTCTGGATGACGGGCATCCCAGGCTCCGGGCTGCTGGACACACTTGAGTGCTCGGAGGGCAGATGTGGGGAAGGCATTCCTGCCATGGCAATGGCTCCTGGGTAAACTACACCCGCAGTGGCAATGGGAATCTGTGCTTGTTGCCTGTCACAGAGAAAAAGTAAAAGGACAGCTGAATACAGGAAAGAATAAAGGGAGCACAAATACAACAGCAGTTTGCAAGACCATAGCATATGCTCTTGGGCAGGCAGAAGAAGCACCTAGCTGGCCCATGCATGGTAACATTTACAACAATATTTCAGACTCTCCAACTGATGCCCTTGAAATGAACATCAAGCCCAAACCAATTTAACTGATAAGAAAACCCAATCTCTTTAAAAATCTCTAGCTGCACCCAAACTACACTGCTCCAGCTTGCCTGCTTGCGATGCATCCTTTTTACTGGGTAAACTGGGTGTCCCATCCGCTGCTAGCCAAAAAATAAACATCCTTTCAACTGTGGTCCAACTTAAAAACCATGTATTTTGAAAATTTTGCTTTTAAATAACCCAAGCTTCTGGCAGGACTAGATATAAAAGTAACACATTGCCAACAGGAGAGATGCAGTGAGCGCTGGTTAGTTTGCACAGCAATGGGGAGGTGCTGTACAGGTAGATGAGGATAAAGCAAGGTAGGTCTCTCCAAAGGGGCAATGTTTACTCCATATTCACCCAGAGACGTGGCCATTACTAGGGAGAGGAACAGTGGGCTTTCTGGGGCCAAGAAGGGCTTATAGGATGATCACTAAGGGCCTCCTACTGGAAGGTGATAGTTTCCACAGCAAGCGGCATTTGTGAAAAGCAGAACCTTTGAAGGAAGATGGATAAAACTGGAAAAAGGCAGACTTAAAACGGAAGCATGCATTATTTAAAAATAAATAAAAAGCAAGCAAGCAACATGAGCATTTGAGAAAATCCTCTACAGGATGCCTTTATACGGCTTCTAAGCCTTGGAAACCTGTCTGCAGTAATGAAAGAGGAATTATTCCAGGCTATAGAAATTCCCTTTGCATCAAGAACACTAGCTGTGTTATACTAGTGTTTGTTTCCCTGAGAAGCTTCAGGGTCCCAACAAGCCTAGAGGTTTAAAATTCATGCTCCTTTTGTTTCCTTGCTGCATGAAGTAATTCCATTGCAGTAATACTCTTCAGTACATGCTGCACATTGTAATGTCATCAGCGGTGTGTCCATCTGCACGGAAAAGCCTTGCCACAGGAGACAGGGCTGAGTCTCTTGAGATGAACATTCTTAATTAAGAATGAAACCCTTCCCTGTTCTCCTGCCTGCCTATGCCCTGGCTGTACAGTAAGCCTTGCACAGTACAGTGATCCTGAAAGACTTTCCTCTGCCAAACAGCTTTACATTTGTTTGGAATTGCTTGCTGCATTTGCAGATACTTCCTGCCTGCCATTCGAGGGAGGCCTCCCTCTGCATACAGTCCTTATTTCCCTATTTCTGAAGCAAGCAGAAGTTGTCTCAGCTGAAGATATAGCTCTTAAAGTAGGGAGCGGATCTAATTTGCATTTTATTCTTAATTCAGTAGGAAGGCTTTTGTTTTCTGGAGTCAGCATTTCTGTAACAAGATTCAGCACACTTAAATTGCTTTTAATATTTAACAATAGGAACATTTTGCACTTAAATGGTGCTTTTCAGAGGGGTTTTCAGATATTAAATAATTTAAGAATAGTGTTCTTCCACTTCTATAGGATGTCCACTCCAGAGCATCTCAAAGAAATGTATTAGGGCTCTCAGCAGCCCAGTGAGGTGAGCTTGCCACCCTACCATTAAAGATGAGGACACTGAGACAGGGAACCATTAAGTCCAGAAGCTGCAAAAGAAGCCAGATCCTTCCCATTGTGATGCCTTCAGACACACTTTCAGCATGTCCAAGAGCTGGCATAGCCACAGCTCTTGTAAACACCATCACATGTTTGGTGGTCAAGCAGGAGCTGGACTGGTGTTTAGAAATATAGCCTTAAATGACCTGTACCAAGTGATGCAGCAAATGGGGGACTAAAACCAGGAATGCAACTGCAGTGCTGTGGCTGCCAGCATCAAACACTGACCCCACCACAGTCATCGGCTGCACTGTCAGTAAATTCTACTATGATTTCACCCCAGGTTCTGCGCTCTAATGCCCCAGTGCAAATCATCTCTAGAAGTGTCTTGATTTCAATGTCAACCTTGTCTGGAAAGCTAAATAATATGCAGAATGTTACAAGGTTAATTTCTTTCCCCATGATGAAGCATGCATGTTAACCAGATAAGCAGTGTTTTGGGGGCTCTGTAGCCACCTATTCTTTTTCCAGAAGGCCCCCCTCCTCTTTTTTAATCTCTTGATGCCAAATGTTGGCTGACTTCCCTGTGTTTGTTTCAGTGCTTACCATAGGGATCACTGGACCTGCCAGCACCACAGGGTTAAGCAGCTCAAATTTCTCTGCTGAGCGGCTTATTATAACAATGCACACTATAGCTGTTTAAAACACAGTCTGATGACACTTAACAGTTGCTGGACAGATATTCTCTCCTTTATTACTCCTTCTAGCCATTAATTAGAGAGATGTGCAACTCAATATTAAAACGATTCCAAATTCAGATGAAACAGAAAAGAAATTCCATTGTTTCTGAGGGTTGTTCTTGCTGCTGGTTTTGTTTTTTTAAAGAGTACTGTGTAGCTTTTAATTTTCTGAAGTGAATACAGAAATATCACAGAATATTTGATTACTTCCAATTCTTCCGATCTGCTGCAACCAAATCCAAGGAGTCTTTGCAGAAGGAAAATACATGCAAGTTTTCTAGGCAGATTTTAATCTAATCGCATCAAGCTGATCTATTAGCCGTTTATCAGAACCAGTCTTCTTGAAATTTATGCTCAACACAAAGCATTAGCTTAATGTACTGGAAGACACTCCCTAGCATGACAAATGCTGTCAAAATGAACAATGCAGACAACTTCATGCCTGATATGAATTAACTGAGCCGAGTTCATATTCCAGCTCAAGTTCAGTATGTTCAGCAGTCCCTTTGCAAACCATATGCCACACATCGTTCCGAGGGCAAACTTGTATTTTTTGCTTCTAGATTAAGAGGCAGTACTATAGATTCATTCAGATATATACTCTCTGAGACCTCATAATACTTACTAGTATCAAGGCTCTATCAGAATGACTGTGTTTCATTGGAAAATCTTAAGTTTGTTTTTTTGACCTGTGCATAATCAGAGTGGAAGTGAGACAGTTGGCCAAACCTGTAAGATGAGTACATAGCAGAGACAACAAAAAAAATCCTTAACTGCCTAACTTCCTCCTGAACCACACTGTTTCAAAGTATAAGATTCATATTCTGTTAGCATATATATTATGCTTTTGCCAATAAAATATAACATTTACCACATTGAAATAAGAATTCTCCCTGAAAAGTTTGGTTGTTTTTTTTTTTTTTCTGATATGAGCAGTAGTTTTTAAAGGTCCCATACCCAACATTAAAATACTGCCTCATCTCCTGGCGTCTGTTGCGCATGATAGCCTTGTACTCGCCAATGCGCAATTTTTTGCCATCTACAAGGCAGGTGCGCTTCGGCCTTGGCTTGTATTTGTAGTCTGGGTATTTCTCCAGGTGCTGTTTGCTGAGTCGGGCCTGCTCCTCATAGTATGGCTGCTTCTCTAGGTTTGTCATAGCTTTCCAGCGAGATCCTGTCACAGAAAGAAAAAAAAAAACAAAAAAGAATGAGAAATGGGTTTCTACTCATCCACAAACACTGAAAGGCAGAGAAACAAGTAGGTCACCCAGAACAAGATACCTACGGTCACATCGCTTTGGGCTGGGAATCTGTCAGAGCTTCCACAGAGGGGTCAGGTCTTGTTTGTATTTGACTAGTAAACCTCTTGGGTATGGCCAAGAGGCAGAGAGAGATGATACTGGAAGTTCTGACTCAATATCTTACTGAAACTTATCTACATTATAATGTCTTTCAAGTGGGAAGTAAACCCATCATCCTGATAATGAGCAATCCCTGACATTTTGTTTCAGTGAACAAGGCAATGTATTTTAATGGAATGGCCAAAGACCCTTAGACACACAGAGTCTGCTTTGCTATGTCTCCCCACTTTCTTTCGACCATGGACCTGTTTCCAAAGGAAACACCCATGCACTGTGATCTAGTCATTGTGCTTCACCGTTACTGGACCAAGGCATATGCTCTGGATAGGCATGTGACTACAGCTTAATCTTTCTAGCTTCCAAGTTTGTGAGAAGCAGAATATGAGCTGATCGTAAACGCTATGATGCTGGGTACAGGAGCCTGCAAAGACCCTGAAGCAATGCCTCTAAAAGCTATAAACTATCCCATATGTCTCCGTGGGGTTTTAACTTCAAGACCAAGTCCTGGTGAACAGTGCCAGCTCCATCTTAAAGAATTTAGTGTGTGTCATGAAGGGAAGAGTTCTGGGATACAGGCACACCTCTCCAAGGAGTTGCACTGGGGCTTCATTGCCAGCAGCCTTGTTTCTAACACTCTCCCTTTGTTAGTGCAGATGTTTGAGCTAGGGAAATAATGAAGACTTTACAACTGTTTTCAAATACCTCCTGAAATTTATATATTATTATTTCTTAAAGGACATAATATGGAAGCAGAAAGTAAAATTTCTTGAATCAGTTACCCTATTTTATTTTTCCATGAACTATGTAAGTGCTTCAGGGTAAGATACATTTCAAATAACAGGAATGGTCCAAGCTCTGAAACATGTGGCTTAGAAGGAAAACTTTATTGGAAAATAGTAAATTTTCCCATTGGAAAAAAAGTTCAAATAGTTTCTCAATTTAATGGCTTCATAATGTCATATGTCATTCTTGACTTCCTCTTGTTCTTCATTTTTTATGGTTACTCATACTGTACTTAGCTCATGCTATTACTCAGGCTGGTCTTAGCTCAAGACTTGCCCCTAAGACTTGCAATATAGAGAGTGCAGTTAAGGAAAGAAAAGTCCCAGGAAAGAAAACAGTCTGCTTCCTTCTAGAAAGGCCCCTTCTGATTATTGACACCATTTTCCCCATTGCTCTTTGAATCCTTATTCCAAGCTGCAGTTCAGACTTCTGCAGTTCAGGGCTAACAGGCTGCTACAGGCTGACCTCACACCTAGAGATAATCCATTTGTAAACAATGGCGTCTTTGCTCTGAAGAGGAGCAACGGACATCCATTTTTAGAAACATTACTTTGGAGTCAAACCGATCATTTTTCATGACGTTTATAACACGTAACATGCAGAGATCCTCCAGATAGTTCTAGAATGGGAAACAGTTTAATGACATTGTTACTAGCTTAGGTGCAGCACCATATTGATGCAACTAGATGGTTTCTATGATCTCCACTAAGCTCTTGTGCGGCACTTTGTATGTCATCCAGAGGTAGCGTCTGTGCATGGGGATCTGTGGCAGATTCACTGTGTTACACAGAATCCTGGTCAGCAGCTTTGTCTCCTGCAGAGAAATTTATTCAAGCTTTTATAGGCAAAGACAGTGGCTACTAAAACTGACACAAACTTTCCAGACATATTGGCCTCCTGGATTTCGGGCTAAATGACACAGTGATAAACATGTGGAGACTGCCAAAACACTCAACACCTATTAATGTTCCAATAAACGGAAACACAGAGCCTGTGTTGAACAATGTTAAGAATTCAGGGTATAAAGCATATGAGCCCTACTGAAGATGCCCAGATGCAGGTTTACTTTCAAATTCTACTTCATAGTCACAAGCACACTGGTATTTTAGCATATGAAGAAAATCTTAAAGTTAGTCTAAATCTATAGCTGTCTACAGACCTGCTGTAGCCCCAGTCCCACTTCTGGCTGATGAATCCAGTCTTATTTATGAATAATAAAGTTGAAAATCTCAGTCTTTAAACAAATCTTGACATTTGATTTACATGCTGTAAGAGAACTTGCAATGTAGGAACTCGGATATACTTTGAGACAGATGGACAGACAGAAATGTAGAAATTAAAATCACTTGTTGCAGAATTGCCATGAAAATGCTCTATCCCAGCACAATTCCTCTTTCACTGTGTTAGTGTACTTGCTGCAACCCTACAGTCAGATGTGGGCAAGAATATTCCTACCCCCTCATGTGAAAAGATCTGTAAATAGTGGGGGAAGTTATGGAAACACATAAGTCTTTGCAGGATCAAGGCCACAAAACCTGAAATTTTGAGGCACAGTATTCATACATACAGATACACATACAATATCTATACATAAATGTAATTTGTTATGTTTTTCCTTCCTAAGCTGCAAACTCAGTACAATAAAAATCCTGGCAGTCTCACCTCTCTTCCTAGCAATTTTTTAATAGCTGCCTTCTGCAGTGATACCTCCTCTTACTCTGACTTTACCATTTTTACAAAATATACTAAATACAATTTACTAGTATGTTTTGAAGTATCATAAATAATGAAACAAGCAATGCTGTCAAACTAAATTTTAAAAAAGGGCACATTTTCTGATGATAAACCTTTGGTTTTTACAGTTCATAATTCTCACTTGTTTTCTTAGTAATATTCAAAATTCAAACAGCTCTCTGGTCTTAATTTGAAATTCTGAAAGTCTGAAGAATATAGAACTCTGATCTTTGGATGTGCACCCACAGGCAAGCTAATAAGCTATGAATGAGTATTGTCAATCAACATAATGAAACTCATTAAAAATACCTTTTGTTTGGACAAACGTAATACTTTATATGCCATTGTTTTTTGTGTCTATAAACACACACAGGCAGTCGTGGGTACCTATGCGCAGTGCCAAGCCCAAGCCCAAACAAGGTGCGACTGAAGAATCTTGAAAAATCTTTCTTTTTAAGGCAAGATTTACACTCTTGGGTGAGCTTTCTGCTCACCATCTGTGTTAGAAAGATTTGAGTGGGTCAAGTACACAAGGCTTTTCTCCTTGACTATGAAAACAAGAACCCATTCCCCTCCCTAGATGCATACAAAATGACAAGCAGGATTCCTGCACAATTCTTCCTGATCTGGTGGCTGAAGTATTTAGAAAATAAAATAAATGAGAAAACTATAAGATTTTGCAGCACCGCAGCACCTAACAGGCCTCCTGCCTTCAAACTGGGCTAGGGCAGTTAGAGCCATGCCTACACAATGACTGTGAACACAGTTAGCTGTAAGTACAAAGCAGAAAAGAGATGTCCCTATGTGTGCCCCAGCACTTGCATGCATTAGATGGGGTTAAGAGCTCTGCTCACAGATGATTTTAAGTCAAATTTCTCTGACAAGAATTTTCAGCTGTTTGTAATATTGCCTAACTTTTAGTCCATTAGACTGACATTTTTCTATCTATGTACCTGAATCAAGTGGATTTTTAATTTAAAAAATACTCTCACATACACAAACACTTGTATAATACATAGGTATGTGAATAGGGTTTTACTGACACACTGACACATTCATGAGAGAATTTCTGAAAGCAGTATCTAAATTAATCTTTTCCTAATTTCTTTATGTAGATTCATCAGTGAAATGAATTAAAATATTTACAAAAATATCTAAACAATGCATTATTAAATTGATAGGGTCCAGCAGACCCATTTTAGCACTTTTTTAACAATTTACTAAAAAAAAAAAATCATTATCCACAAGTTGCAATGAACAGATGGATGACAAACGTATGCACAGATGAATTTAGTGACAAATCCATGTATCTAATTTTTATGCTCAAAACATAATACCACAGTGTCAAACATAATCCCTAGAGAATTTTAGTGCTGCGAAGGGCACCTCCTCTCATTTTACTATGAAAATGTCCCTTGAGCAGTGACAACTCTATCACTCTATCTAAGCTACTCTCCATGACAAAGAGCTCCCTGACCTCAGTGTGTAGCACTGCTGCTAAAAAACTGGTAAGGGAAAATTGCGGCTTTCAAATAAGGAGACCCTAATACCTGGGTAACAGTAAGCTTCCAGTTGCTCACCCTATGCCAGTTAACAGAAAGCTCCCTGCTGACTTCAAAGACTGGCCTTTTGCAATTGAGGGAAGACCTTTGTAACGTTCCTGTCAAGAAAGATGTCAGGACATCCCTCTCCATTGCATAGGTGGAATAAAAACTTAAATGTGATGCTACGAAGAAATAGAAACATCATCTCTTACTGCCTTGAACCTTGCTTTTCCCCATATCTGGCAGCAAAACAGAAAGAGTTTGGAGTCAGCTATACTGTCTGTCACCTCAACAGGATCTGTAATGAATTTGCACATTTTACTCCAACTACTGTATATCTAATCAGAAAAAGATGTCCCCATATCTCCCTGATCTAGCGCCAAATAGTAAAAGGTGATTCCTTATGTTAACAATTTCAGCAGAATGGCTTATTAAAACCAGATTTTAGGGTATTATAAAATGCTTAGAAGCCCTTTAAAATGTCAACCAGGATCCCCAGAGACTGCGTAAAATGTCAGCCCAGCTCAAGCGCCTGTTTTAAGCAGAATGAATTAGCAGCGTGCTGTCGGAGGTTGTTATCCAAAACAATCAGTTAAGAAGGAAAACATCAAGCTCTCTTTGTACTTTCTATATGAAAAGGGCCATTCAGAATGATCTTGTAGATTTCTGAAGCTGATTATTTAAAAACAGGTTTAACCAGGTCTCCTCTCAATTTAGAAACAGACCAAAACTATTACCACCCTGTCCTCAGTCTAACCATATCACACGCTTCTGACCAGTATAATCCCTTTTAACCTGTATAAGGTTATTTTATCATCAACATAACCAATTTAACTTTCTAATCCTGTTCCCATAACTAATCTAATAATTTCATACCACCCTTTTAATCATGGGTTAATATTGTCACATCTGCCATCCACAGCCGATATATTCTGCCTCTCCCACCAATTTACCTCATTTCCACTTGCCCCCTGCTAACATTTCATGATACCAAGCTAAACCTCAAACTTCTGACCAGCTTAAACCCTGCACAATTTACCAGCCCTGCAGCTGGTTAATGCTGCCATTACAATTGCACTACATCTCTCGAGCTGTCAGCAAAACCGAGACCTGCAGCCCAAGTAAACATGTCCCCTATTTAAGCATTTACCCACTGGCCTGAGGGACACTTAGCTCCTATAATGCAGCCTTTATCAGTAAAAATGCAACATCTCCAATTTGGTAACAGGTTATTTTTTTTTCTTTCCTGCAGAATAGTAATTCATTGGCCTCATAGATCCTCACTATTCACCTCTTGTATCATTCAGCATGTCACAGAGGAGTAACCTGGGACGGAATGTGGTCCTGAGAATTTGAGCAAGTAGGGAAAATTTGGAAGACTATGGCATGAAATTCAGTAGATTATGCTCCTGACAAATACTCCTTGGGCTGTGAAGAGTAGAGGATATGAAAATGATGTTTCTTTTTCTGATTTCAAGATTCTTTTTAGAATATCGAACAATGAAGAACTGTCCACTGTTAGGAGAAGCTCAGTTTCAAGATCATCTAAGGAACCTGAAGGTGCACAAATCTATGGGACCTAATGAGATGCATCCACGGGTCCTGAGGGAACTGGCAGATGAAGTTGCTATGCCACTGTGCATATTTGAGAAGATGTGGCAGTCAGGTCAACTTTGTGATGACTGAAAAAGGGGAAACATACCCCCCTTTTTTGAAAATGGGAAAAAGGAAGACCCACGGAACTACAGGCCAGTCAGTCTCACCTCAGTGCCTGGCAATATCAAGGAGCAGATCGTCCTGGAAACTATACTAAGGCACATGGAAAATAAGGATGTGATTGGTGACAGCATGGCTTCAATAAGGGCAAACTGTGCCTGCCAAATCTGATGGCCTTCTATGATGGGATTAAAGGCTGGTGGATAAGGGAAGAGCAACTGATATAATCTACTTGTACTTGTGCAAGGCATTTGACAACATCCTGCACAGCATCCTTGTCTCTAAACAGAACTGGCTGGATGATTGTACTCAAAAGAATTGCAGTCAATGGCTCAATATTCAAGTAGAAACGAGTGACAAGTGATGTTCCTCAAGGGCTGGTATTGGGACTGTCACTCTTTTAACATCTTTGTCGGCAACACAGACAGTGGAACTGATGCACCCTCAGCAAGTCTGCCAGTGATAACAAGCTGTGTGGTGCAGTCAACACACTGGAGGGAAGGGATGCCGTCCAGAGGGACCCTGACAGGGTGGAGAGGTAGGCCTTGTGTGAATCTCATGAGGTTCAAGAAGGCCAAGTGCAAGGTCCTGCACATTGGTCAGGGCAATCCCAAGCACAACTACAGGCTGGGCAGAGACTGGATTGAGAGCAGATCTGAGAAAAAAGACTTGGGGTTGTTGCTTGATGAAAAGCTCAGTGTGAGCCAGCCACGTGTGCTTGCAGCTTAGAAAGCCAATAGTATTCTGGGCTGCATAAAAAGCAGCATGACCAGCAGATCAAAGGAGGTGATCGTCCCCCTCTACTCCGCTCTTGTGAGACCCCACCTGAAGTGCTGCATCCAGCTCTGGGGCCCCTAACACAAGAAAGACATGGACCTTCTTGGAAGGACATGGAGTGAGTCCAGAGGAGGCCACACAGATGCTTGGAGCTCTGGAGCTCCTCTCCTAGCAGGACAGGCTGAGAGCTGGGGCTGTTCAGCCTGGGGAACAGAAGGCTCTAGGGAGACCTTAGAGCAGCCTCCCAGTACCTAAAAGGGCCTAGAAGAAATCTGGAGAGGGACTTCTTATAAGGGCATGTAGAAATAGGACAAGGAGTAATGGCTTTAAACTGAAAGAGTGTAGATTTAGATCACATATTAGGAATAAATTCTTTACTGTGAGGGTGGTGAGACACTGGCACAAGTTGCCCAGGAAAGTTGTGGATGCCCATCCCTGGAGGTGTTCAAGGCCAGGTTGGATATGGTTTTGAGCAACCTGGTCTAGTGGAAGATATCCCTTCCCACGGCAGGGCAGTTGGAGCTAGATGATCACTAAGGTCCCTTCCAACCCAAACCATTCTAAGAGTGGGATTTTAGGATCTTTTCTCTATGATCACTGATTTGAACAGAAACTGCTATGGCAGAAATCAAATACTGTGGTGTGCTACCCAACAGAATCTAGTTAGATGAAGCACATGCACAATTAAACAACAGCAGTCATTTTGTGCTTGTTCAACAGCCTAATGAAATGAACTGGTTTTGTCTATTCAGTTCATGTTTTCATACCAAAACTACCACCACAATCTCAGTAATTATAAAGACACAGGAATATTTCAGGTTATGGTTAATGTATACTGCTGGGCAGCACAGTGGAAGCTTGTATAACTGTTGTCCTCGGTGCAGCCATAAAGTAACAAAACGGATGTTTTAGAGACAGTAATTCTGCTGTGTCAGGTGTTCAGCCCTATTAAGTCGAAGTTTTTTTAGTTTAGCTACTGAAAGAAGCTTTATCATTCTTACCTAGTATCTTGCTGATATTGGAGTTGTGCATGTCAGGGAAGGCTTGAAGGATCTTCCTCCGTTCATCTTTAGCCCACACCATGAATGCATTCATTGGGCGCTTGATATGGGGCTCATTGCTACCACGCCCTCTTGATTCCCGGTAAATTCTAGACTCTGAAACTCCTGCACTTCCTACAAAGAAAGAGAAAAACATTCCCAGCTTGTGTTTCGTTATGCAGCTTCTTCTGCAGTCAGTAACCTATCTACGGTGCTGCACATTCAGTCAGTGTTCACAATAGGTTAATGGTGCTTCTTTCTACTTGAAGCATTAGGAAATACCATCTATTGTACAGTCTAGTTTTTAGCAGTTCTGTTGAGTCAGTATCACATAGTGTAGTCTTGATAAAGTTTCAACTGTTTTTTTTTTTCAACAAAAAGCTTTTATAAACCACCTTTCACTACTTAATAATGTAAACCCAACACTTATCAATGTAGATTTTCCTTTTACCTTCTTCCTTTCTTGCTTACAGAATTCTGGCCATATTGTGTTACCTATCTTCTACCTTCTTTGTGATGGGAAGGGGATGATAAACAGCAAGACCAGGCATTTCTTCTTAAGCAATTCTCTAACTAACAAGTGAACTTTACAAATCTGCCTGTTTTTGTGCTGTTTACAACAACAGCAATAACAGAGAAAGAAATGGATATTAAGCTTGCTTCTTCAAACCAAGTAAGTTCCTACAGGTGCAGAGCGTGCAACACCTATGGATGATCAGGACTATAAATCATGGACTCACTCTGTGAACTCACTCATCCCACATCTATTTGCCTCCTCTATTCCTTTCACCATCAGAAATACATTCTTGGTCCAGTCTTAAGAACTGCAGCATACAGAAAAGAAGGCTAAAAATCACCTTGAGACTTTAAACACCACACAGTGAATCATTTTTTCCTGCCTTGTTTCATAGCCACTTATTGCTAATCGCTCTTACTCCTCATGGGCCTCCAAAGCACTTGGATTTTCCTCCACATCCCACTGATACGTTCACACAAACCTAGAAATAAGGATAAGCCATTTGTACTGACCGTCAGAATCTCCACTCATGTTGAAATCCATCATTGCATGGCTAAACTTCCCGTCTTCACTCTGTTTTACTGCCAGTTGCTGAGTCAGGGTCTCCAGTGTTGTTTTGTCCTATACGGACAAGATGATAAGATTTGGATCAGGAAAATAATTAAACATTGTAACTGAAAAGTCCATAGGTAATTCAGAAGGTTGATAGTGAAGCTGGGTAACAATGCACTCAGAAGAGTTTACTAAGCCAGGTATTTAGGAATATATATACTATTTTTTCTGGAAGGGATATGGCTGCAGATGCTACCAAGTCTTTTTTGAAACATGCTTATTAGCTAGTGATGAGCAAAATTCATAACTGGTTTAGTTAAGAAGATAAAATTGGCTGCATATCTGAAGAATACTTCAACTCTTTATGTCCCTGTGACCACAAAACTGGACTGGAAGTTTAGATGATACATGCTCTTTTGCAATATATTTATTGGTTTACTCTACTTCCAGCCTGCAATCAAATTGCAGAGACATGGGTGACTGTCCTTTTTCTTTTTAAAAAGGCAGCATTTTAGAAAACAGCCCATAAGGAAAAAAAAAATAAACCCATGCCTGTACTTCAAACTTATTCAAGCCTTGGGAAAGGGTCAGCCTGAATTAAGCATGATATTTGGGCAGCAGTTTGTGTTCCTGTCCAGACTGCTTTGCCCAAACTAACTAACACCCCATCCGTCATTCACCTACTCAGAACTATCTGTGAACCCTGGATTGCAACAGGCTAGTGCGTGCTGCCAATTAATCTGTCAGGCTGCAGCGGTGTCTAAAGACACTGCCAGAACAACATGCCAGGGCCATTAATTCCAATGTTCTCTTCAAACCACCTCGCTTCCCCCTGAATTGTTTGACTTTACAAATACAAAGGTGTTCCATTTTCCAACTGTTTTTGTTTTCCCGATGACTTTTACCCATAAACATTCTATCTTCCTGACAATCATATGTTTAAAAATAAATCTTTCAGGAAAGCAATACTAACATTTCAAAATGTTAGGCACTGTGCCTTCTGCAAAGCTAAGAAAATGACATGATATGGCATGATAATAAAGTGGCTCCAGTTGAAACAATTCTTTTGAGCTTCTTCCTGAAAGAAAGACTGCTGTTTTGTTGCTCTATTCCACTCCTGATGACTGTAAAAGATCAATAAACTAAAAAAAAAAACAACTTTCAGATTTCACATGGCAACTGGAGACTTTACACTATTCTATGTAGCCCAATAATGTCACTGGGTTGTATTATAGAAGAAAACAGAAAAGAGAACAATGTGAATACAGAAACGCTTCCTGCAATGTGATGTGCCCGCATCTGCAATTCAAAGAATAGTTCAAATTCATGTAAGCCATTTCACAAAGATCTTCTTGAGAGAGTTAGCAACAAAGCTAACCTGCTCAACTTCATATGCTCACACAGTTTAGGGAACATTAGGTTAACTTTCCTACTCCTCACATTCATTTCCACTGTGGATCCCTTTTGTGCTCCTGGTGCGCGGTCTGTAACCAGACACATCACCACCAAAAGAATGCAGGATGAGTTATCCGCTGATTTTTCAGGAAAAGCTGATGCAGCAGGGTCCGCCTATCACAAGCAAAAAGTTTTCTGCAACGTTACCAAGCACAGCAGATCCAGAAAGCTTGGAGAAGCTTTGAATAAGCACCTGAACTATTCAGGCATTTAGCTTTACCAAAGTCTTTGATCTACCAGTTTTAACTCGGCTTTCATTTCCAAAGCAGCCTGTCAGCAGACAGAAAGTCAGGAGTAAGTTCTTCTTCAGGAGTAGTTCTGCAAAATGGATCTCAGATATATAGTGGAAATCAACAGTTTTTCCTTGGAAAAAGATTTATTGTCATCTTCATAATGATAAGAGTTCAAAATTTTTATGCCAGAAATCAGTTAAAAATGCTGCCACCAACCTAAAAGATAACAGAACATCTCCTCTTGTTGGGTGTATTATGGGGGAGGGGAGTTATTCTGTTGCTGACTTTTCTTGAATCACGTATAAACCTCTTAGAGAAACAGAGCTGAGAGCACAAAGGGCACAGGCTTAACAGCTTCTTCTTTATGCCGTAAACGCAGCTCTTGAAGTTAGAGGCAGTTACATTCAGAACCACACTCTGCCAACATGATCTGATTGAGTCTTAAGGTCAGCGAATACTCCAGCATGCTGTCTGCGAGGTACACACCGGCCATGGCTCGTTTATCAGAGTTTGACTTAACAAGCTTACAGATGCTCTGCCGCTATCCCTCTTGGGCAAAGTTTTGCATTTTGAGGTAAAGCCACATTAGAAGTAGTGAGAATCTGTGAGGGAATGCCAGATGAGTGCTGAGCTCCTGGGCTGCCCTGCCACTTGGAGGTGGCTCTCTGGACAGCTGAAACATGGGTGAGTGGGGACACCACCCTTCCAACATAGCGACAATTTACTCCCTGCTACTTGAATGTAGAGAATCATAGAATCATAGAATCGTTAGGGTTGGAAAGGACCTTAAGATCATCTAGTTCCAACCCCCTGCTGTGGGCAGGGACACCTCACGCTAAATCATATCACCCAAGGCCTCGTCCAACCTGGCCTTGAACACTGCCAGGGATGGAGCATTCACAACCTCCCTGGGCAACCCATTCCAGTGCCTCACCACCCTAACAGGAAAGAATTTCCTTCTTATATCCAACCTAAACTTCCCCTGTTTAAGTTTTAACCCGTTACCCCTTGTCCTGTCACTACAGTCTCTAATGAAGAGTTCCTCCCCAGCATCCCTATAGGCCCCCTTCAGATACTAGAAGGCTGCTATGAGGTCTCCACAATGTAATGACAATGTAAATCGATCAGCAATGAGAAGGGGGCAGTTAGAAAGAACTTCTGCATGATGTTGCTTTTGAAACAAGATGTCAGAACTGCCAGCTGTACTCTTCTGTGTTAATGTTTAGAAACGTTTAATAAGTACTCAGGCAAAAGTAGGACTAAGGCCTGCTCATTCATAAGCTTCTGCAACAGTCTTAGGAGAGCAGAAAGAGATCCTGCAAAAGCCTGACTACACCTAAGTAGTGTTCCTATTTCCCATCCCACGCTCCTCCCATTAAACACATGACAGCAATCCTGGCCTACAGAAATGCTTTTACAATTACAAAATATTCAAAAGGGGCTATAGATTATTCCCATCTTGTTTTTCTTGAAAGCATTCATTTGATGACTTGCTGCTTTTGGTTTGATGGAAGCATCTTTATTTTTCCTACAATCTTTCAGTTTATGGAGAAAATATGTATGGAAGATCCAAAGAAACAAATGAAAAAAATCCTTTCTTATCTGACACCAAACAAACTGTCAACCTGCTAGCCCAGCCTTCTCTTACAGAACCTATTTAAGAACTTCAGACAAGAGGTCCACAATGGTTTCAAATTTCTACAAAAATAGCACCTATTTATCATCATAATCTTATTTCAACAGCAAACTACTCATTCTCAAAACTGCTACCACTCTGATGTGTTGGATTAGATGTGTTAACAGTAGCAAGATGTGGCACCATTCAGTCACAACAGGTGGAGCACATGCTTGCTGGGCTCAGCAGTACAATCTAATAAGGCAGTTGTGATACAGAGCTAGAATTCAGGAGGCAGTAGCATATTTCTGCACACTATGTTGGACTATGCCTTAATCTTATTTTATCATTTTATCAAGCTCTACATCCAATTGTCTTGCCAGGAAGAAAGTTCAGCTGATGAAATTATACATGCTTTCAGGTTTTTAAAGCTACAAGAAAAAGAACCAGAGTAATAAACCCTTAATTTAAAATGTGTCCCATATCCCAAAGTTATAAAATGCTATTAATCCTATAAGCAATCAACTGAGTGGCATCAACTGCAGACCAATACTGCCAAGAACAGGCGAGGCTGGTCCAAATCTGGGGAAGTGGTGCAAAGAACTGGTTGTGAGACCTGCTAAAAATTAAACTGCACAAAGCAGTGAAAACAAATGCAAGGAAAGATTCTGCTCTTGCAGTAGAAGAAACATAGGGACCTTGCTAAAGATGAAGTGATTATTTTTCTTTTAAATTTCTGAATTTTGAATGACGCCCAAGAAGACTGAAAGACATTTCATAAACATCTTTTTCCTCTGTGAAGAACTTCAGCAGAAGATTGAAAAGGTATCTTAATGGCAATTTCTACTGGACTGTAGGAGATACTCTCCTTGGGTACTAAGAGCTAAACTGTCTGGATCGTTTACAATTGTAATGGGCAAACAAGAGAAGATAATACTGTAGAGAGCAATCAATCCCACAATAGCCCACAATAGTTGTTCAAAGTATAAATAGAGAGGTTTCATCAATAGCCATAATGTGATGAGAAGTTTCTAAAACTTTATTAATCAAAGAAAGTAATCATTAATTTTTACCACAGCTCTTAGCAATGCTCTAGTTATATTGAAAAGAACAATGAAAAACACATACACACATGGAATGTGTCATGTAGAGAAAATATATATAAAAACTGACTAAGCACTGCAAATCAGACTCAGTTTTGCGGTCAGCTGCAAAAGTTACTTGGCTTTCTGTCATGGATAGCTGTCGTAGTTTAACAAAACATTGATCTAAAAATGACAAGAACTTGGTTGCAGGCTCTTTCATAGAAGAAACATAAAACAAGAAGAGTCAAAACATATGTAGAACAGCCTGATAATATTTGCCAGAACTCCTCCCACTACTGTACAAACGTGAAGCAAAATCTTGGAAGGTTTGAGAAATAAAGACATTCTGATATATTTGCCTACCCCCCTCGGACTTCACTTCCGGTCTTGTGTTAGATCATGGTACCAACACACAGCGTGTACCTGAGACCATGCACATGCTTCCACTCCTGAAGGCCTCCACAGTTCTTCCAGAACACTGTGAATGATGGGCATATGGCAACGGATCCCTCCTCCCCCTCTTTGAGACATCCTTTTGGCTGGGGCATTTGGCAAACACCGACAGTACTCTGAACTCCGTCAGAATTGTATTTTGGCAAGAGCTGTTTTTCCGATTGCATAATTCAAGGTTAGCAGTTTTACTGACGCAGTTCACTCTTCACTTTTCTACTCCCCTATCCC